CTTGTGTAGAGTGTGCTTCTAAGACAAAAATTACAGTAAAAAGAATATATTCTATGCTGCCAATCTGTATGCTGTAGGGAGATATTATTGGCTATGGGGCACTTCCTTCATGTTTTAGGATATGTTTGGCAGCTGAAAGTCAACTTACATGATATAAGGAATATCTGGGTGAGGTGAAATAGTTCTACGTATGTATTGTATATATATATATATATGTATATATATATATGCATTATGAAATAGTTAATGTATGTTGGCCAATATACTGGTGTTCATGATGCACCATATTGTATAGATAAGCCAGTATTTCACTAGAACAGTATATCTGGATACTAGGTAGAATTTGTGTGTTGTAGGGAAGGCCCTAATTTCTGAGTTATGAAGTTAGTCTCTTCATTGTGGTAAGATTTATATTGTGCCATGACTTCTGTATTTTGGAGAAATTTGTGTGCTGTGAATTATTTTAAACTGAGTTATCTGGGTTGGGAGTGTATAGAATAGATATAACATATGTATGTGTGTGTGTGTGTGTGTGTGTGTGTGTGTCTGTCTGTCTGTCTGTATGTATGTATAGGAGCATGTGTTAGAGCATTTGGTAAAAATTAGATGAGTCTTTATATGGATGAATTTCTGTATTTATGCACTGAATTGTGTGTACTACACAGTGTATCTAAGTGTCATGTGGTGAGTATCTATGCCGTGTAGACACCATGTATAGGTGAATCTAAATGTGAGCTAAATACAGTCAACACAGATGTAGTGGTCAAAGCATAGGTTGTGATTAGACTGTGTGCTTCATGGAGGACAGTGAATGTGTACAAGGGTTGGTTTTAGTTGAATCTTACCATTTTATTGTCCAGTTTAGTGCATGTTAACAACAGCAGTATCAGCAGATCAGATACTGTTGTAAAGACTTTAGAAGCATTAACCCATTTGTTCCTCTTAACAGCTGTAGGTACAGGAATCATTATTATTCTAAATTTATAGGTTAGAAAAGGCATAGAGTGGTCCAAAAATTTTTCTTAGGTCATAAACTTACATTGATGTGTTAGGGATTTCAGTCTAGGCAATTGGGGCTCTGAGTTCAAGCTTTGTAATAGGGAGCTGATCTAACTGCAGCGCACCAAATTTTTGTGCACTCTGTTTTGAGCTTATGTGAGCTGAGGTTCACCTTTGCTTTGTGCCACATTGGGAACAGTGGGTTGGGTTTTTGTACTGTAAGCATGGCTTTGCTTTTTATGAGTCTAGTTGCTTAAATGCAAGCCTGAAAGATGAAAATGACTTCGTGTAGATGCTGCCTTGTCATACAGATGTAAGGTATTTAAGAACATAATTGCTTAGAGGGATAACTCTGTGTGACTGGGCTTAAATAGGCCTTAGAAAGCTACCCTTGGGGGAGGGGGCTGGGGAAAAGACTTAGTAGTTAAGAACACTTGCCACTCTTGTAGAGGACCCAGTGTCAATTCTCAGCACCAAAAGGGAAGCTCACAAATGTCTGTAGCTCAGGTTCCAGGGGACCTTAAAACACTTATCTGTCCGCAGTAGGTAGCAGGCACATATATGGTGTGTGGACATACTTGCAGGCAGAACCCCCAGTCATGTGTATTTTAAGCTTTTAAAAAAAGTTAATTTGTGAGGTATGGGATATGTGATCATATATGTGGGGGTGTTTTCATATAGATCAGATTTATGTGTAAGTAATGAGGTATGAAGCATATAGTTGTTTATGAGTAAAACAAAATAAAAGTAAATGTGTTATAGGAAGGAGCTATGCATTAAAATATGATCCTCTAAACTTAGGAGTGTGAATTTAAGAACACGTTTGTGAATAGCAAAGAAATCCACATGCTTTGGAATAAATATTTGCGTATAATGGGATAAATGCCAGACAGTACACAAGTTTATGGTTATACCACATATAACTGTATGGGGTAAATCTGTGTATTGTAGACCAAGTCTGTGTGTTGTGAGGGGAATGTGTACATATGAAGTGAGCATATGCATTATAGACCACATTTCTTAATTCCATTGTCAATGTTTACATTGTGAGTGAAATCTAGTTTAGTGTGCTGTCTGTACTCTGTAGGGTATAAGGTATTATGGGGTGTTGTCTGTATGTAGTAGGGTATTTCTGTATGTTCCAGGACTAATCTATGTACTGTGGAAAAATCTATATTGTTAGATGGTTTTAGATACTTTAAATAAGCACCTCCGCTTCATTAAAAATGGTGGGTTGGAAGGAGGTAGGTGATGGTAATGTAAATGAATAAATCTAACAGTTTCTAGCAGGTACTTTATTATACTAAACATAGCTTAGGTTGTTTTTTTATTCATGAGAATTCTTCAAAGTAGCTACTACTGTCACCTTTGTTTTGCAGATGAGTAAACCAAAGAACATAGAAATATACTTACCTGTAGTGATATAATTAGGAAAGGGTGGAATCTGGAGGCAAGGCCAGGAAGCCTGGGTCCAGAGGCCTTGCTCTTAAAGGATACCAAGCTGTATCTCTGCTGTAGGCCAGTTTTGTAGCTCAATGATATGGTAAACCATGTCTGTCCTTTACAATGGAAATCTATGCAAAGTGAAGTTAATACATGTGCTATATATGTCCATAATGTATTATAGTACATATCTGTAACATGTTCTGTGTATATATGTCTACATGATAGGCAGCTTTTACTTGCATTATGAAGTGTTGTGATGTAACTGCACAATGTAGAACAAATCTATGCATTCATGGGTAAGCCTATAACTTAAAGACATACATATTATGATTGTGTGTATTACAGGGCAAGTCTGTGGCCTGAATGGCTTGTCTGTACATTTAGGGTGAGTGTCACTGTTTGAAAAAAATTATATGAGTTTTGAGGCAAGTATGTATACTAATAGTTGATTTTGTGCATTCTGGTAGAGTTCTGTGCATATGCTAGGTATATTTTGTTTTGTAGATAAGAGTTAATCAGTCTGTGTGCTTTGTAGTAAACCTGAGAGTCATTGAAACATGGGCTTCTTGTGTTTGGGGGCATGTGTCTAGACGATAGAAGCACTGTAAGAAGTGATTGTGTGAGAGGAAATAGAAAATACATTACTGTTACAGAATTTTCAGCATTGTGGCAATGGAGTGTAGTCCTCTGAGGTGTGTGTTCAGATCTTATGGTTTCACACCTGTATTGTGGGATAAGTGTGGATACTGTGGACCACCTTTGTGATGGACGTGGGGAGGGGCCTTGAGTACCTTAGAAGGTAATTCTGCAAACATGGAAGGAGATTTGGGTAATGTGTGGCAAATACGTGCTTCTGCGGCAGGTATGTGCACTGTAGCTTTGCATTGTATGTTTATCAAGAGATGAATTGGCACACTGTGGTGCAACTGTGTTATTAAATTAAAATCCTGTTTAACAAGGAATGATCTATGTGTTTCAGGGTATACTACTGTACTGATATGTGATGGAAGAGTGAGCATGGTCCAGGGCTATGGGGAATGTCTCTATACCATAAGTTTAACACGTTTCATGGGGTAAATGTGCACAGAATAAGGAGGGTGTGTAATGAGATATAAGCCTGTGTCCTGTTAAATAAATACCATATAACAAAGATCATTCCATTTGTCAGAGGGAGAGTTTGTCCTTTGGGTGAGTTTTGGTATCATGGCAAGGGATTTTAGCTGTGTTTTACGTCTGTGTTCAAGGAGAAACGATGTACACTATGGGATGCTGCTGTGGTGTGGACAGTCTGTGCTCTGTGGTGAAGGTTCCCATGATGTGACAAGAATCTGTGTGTTGTGGGCAAGGCTACATGGTCTTGCAAGTGTTAGTGTGACGTGAGGGAGGTCTGTTTCCCATGAACTTCACCAGCCAGGAGTTCAATTGGTGGAGCACACATGGGGTAATTGTGCTGTAGGGAGAGACTTGCTGTGCTGAGTACTTATGTGTTCTGGGGAGCATCTATGTGCTCTGGGAAGCAATCTGTGTGGGATAAATGAAGTCTGTATACATTATACATTCTTGACAGGATCCATGAGATGTAAAGGTGAGCTACAGTGTTGAAATACAGGCACTGTATCCCTGGTGAGACAAGAATCATCGTGTGGAGCTGATAAAGGTCCTTTAGCTTGGTCTCTGTGTGGAAGAGAACCTGCTCTGATCTAAAAGAGCCCAGTGACATGGAAGGTATGTAATAAGGGGCAAATGTATTTACTGTAGTATGTATTAATGAGCTTCAGGGAGTAGTGCAACATTCTGTTGCAGGGCATCTGTGTGCTACATGAGAGGTGTCTGCATTCTGTTGGGTTAAATGTGTCTCTCATTTGGTCAGTAAAAGCATTAGGATAAGCTAGTGTACCGCGCAGGCACAAGTCTGGTTCCAACAGTTTTCCTTTAACATCTACAAATAACAATAAATAACACCTCTAGTAGTTAATATGTACCACTTTTCTTAAATGTGTTGTTACTATTCCCATTTCACAGCTGAAGAACCTGAGGCCCAGGAAGTCTAAAACTGTTCTGTGGTCATGCAACTGGCAAGAAAGAGATGGAGGTTCGAATCCAGGCCGTCTCTTTCCTATAGCCACACAAGAATATCTGGGACCTTAATAATTGGAAAAATGTCATGGTCACTGGTGAAACTACTCCCTGCAGTTGTACTGGAAGAGAAAAGAGAGAATTTCAAAGTCTTCTGAGGATTTTTTTTTTAAATGTAATGCTCTGTGTACCGTAACAGTCTCAGCTTGGGGAGAAAAAAACTGATGTCATGTCTGTGGAATACCTCTTCCAGCCTCTGTGGATCCCCAAGATTCCTCCCAAGGCCCCACAGCTGCATTCTGCCACTGCAGATTAGGCAATACGCATCATCTGGTGAGGTCCTGTTGCCAGGGAAACCAGCCTCAGTCATAAACAAATCATAGCCTAATGTCGCAAGTCAGGAAATGACTGGAGCTGTGTCTATGAGTCAAAAGAGTACCTTGCAGTAACAGCAGGCAAAGAAAGCAGCTGCTACTTACCTCCCTTTCCTTCCAAAGTCAGAGAAGACGAGTGCTTTGAAGTCGCTGGGTGGGGGAAAACGCTGTGCTGGAGAGTAAGGGGTACAACAGAGAACAGCAGGTGATTTTTCACTGTCAAATACTTCTGTTACTTTTTAACTTACCTCCTACTAAAAGCCTCCATGTTTTGTGTCTTGACCCTTCCACTTGCAGTAAAAAGAAATGGACCATAGCCATGTTTTCCTGTCTCAAGAGATAATGACAGTGGTAGCAAGTACCAAAACTCACCTCCATCCTTTAAATTGAGATCATTGTACTGCCAGCAACATAATTGAAAACGTTTTTTCATCTCATACATTTCTTACATTTCCCTCTTATTTCTCTCTAGAAAATTCCAGGAACTGAATCCACACAGCTTTACCTCTCTAAATACCTGAAGAACAGAAAAACCTTAGAACAAGCATTAATCCCTGAAGTACTTTTTAAACGCGCAACTGGAATGTCAAGAGCATCCAAAAGGAATACCATCTGGAGCAGTATTCTATGTCATTGGACTCCTTAACTTCTAATTTTAAAAAATAATTATTAAGATTTTTAACTATTTAACATATATATATACACAAACACACATAACATATATGCATTATATACATAACCTGTTTGAAAATACCTGTTCTAAACTACATAGAACTAGGATTCTTGAAAGGCAAAAATATAAACACAGTGCTTTAGCAGGCTGCTGGATGTAGCAAGAAGGTAAAAGTACTATAATGGAATGTAACCATCTTGAGTAGAGAGAAAATGGCCGACCTTTGGAAAGCTACACCTTATCTAATGGGAGAACAGCTGTTGACACATCACATCAGTGGAAGAAGGTTGTGTTATTCAGTTCACAATGCTGAAACCATTGGCAACCTATCTGGAAAAGGCACAAAATTAGATTCTATTTTATACTACACATTTAAAATGAATACTATACAGATTGCAGAGTTAATTGTAAAAGAAATTAATTAATTAAATTTCCAGAGAAAATACAGGTGAATGTTTATGTGGAGGAATACCTCAAAAAAGAAAGAAAACGTAAAAATAAACTGACAGGAATAGATATTTTAAAAGATAAAGCAGTAATGTGTCCCCAAAATTGCCATCATAAGTGACAAAACTATATATTCAAATAATGGCTTGAGAGTGTTTTAATCACATATGTTAAACAAACTAAGCAAGATGTTTTGACAAGAGAAGAAACCTGAGACTGATTCATACCCATTTGATCCATGAAATCCACGTCTGAATTTTTTCCTAGGGGGGGAAGAACAGAAGGGTGCACAAAGATTTATGTAGAAATATATTCCTTAAATCATTATAGCAAAAAGCACATTTATACATTTATTATTTGGAATGTGATCACTCCCATGAGATCAAAAATTATGTATTCCTGAAACACATTCCTGTGAGATACTTTAAAATATGAAAAATTATTTATAAAAATATGTTTAATGAATAAAGCAGAATAAAGACTTCACATCTGATCATTATTTTGTATTAAATATGCATTTCTATGCATATATTTGTATATATGCAGAGAAAAGTGACTGACAGCAATATGCTAAGGTTATGGCATTGTGCATAATCTTTATAGTCATATTTTAATTTTTCCAAGTTCTGTACATTACTGTCTTTTTATAATAAAGGAAGAGCCAACATTATAATGAGATACTTTAATAAACATAGGAAAGCTCTGAGATTGCGGAAAAGAAAGTCTAGAAACAATGACAATAAAAAGTAAGAATTAAATAAATAGCAATGGAACATTACACAAAATTAACTCATGATCCACCACAGCATGATTCCAGCATTATTTGCATGTTAGGATGTATAGAATTTCTTATACAAGATGGAGTCCTGAAAATTTTTCTTCACTACACCAGAGAATGGTCACATGTCCCTGGATGCGTCAGTCACCCTTTGCCGCAGTGCTCTCCTGATGCGCCCCCCCCCCCCCGCACCTTCATCATGCAGGCTCCCTTTCCCTGAAAACTATGACCCCAGCAGACATGTTTAGTTTGGGGAATGGCTTATCTTCAGAGACTTTCAAATAAGCTTTTTCATTCTCATATTCCTCTCTGATCTTCGTTTTGTTATCTAACTCCAAAGCCCAGCTCCCCTTCCTTTTTCCTCTTCCCTTTGGGTCATGTGTCAAAACCAATCTGAATTTAAAAATAAAAATTGAAAATACACGACTTCACCTCTTTTTCTGTTTTCTTGCAGTAACCAACCTAAAAGAGTACACACAATTTCAGAGATATTGAGAAACAAACAAAATGTTGTATCCATAGGAATCTCTGCTACGTTCTCACATTCCTTTTCAAAAAAAAAAAAGCACCGAGAACATTCTATCTTTACTGTACAGCATGACATGCAAAAAGCAAATGGATTTTACAAATGAAGGCACAGTCATAATATTTGTTATTTCTTTTTCATTATTTTCACCCTACAAGCAAATTTTCCCCATTCAATACACATTCATCTCTCCTACAAAGCAATCAGTCGTAATATTATTACAGTCTGCCCTCTTCATTTCCTTTCCTATGCAGACATGTCACCGCATCATCTTCTTAATTAAAAACAAGTAAAGTACGCTATCCTATCCTCCAATGCAAAATATTCTCACCACAGAAAGAAAATAAACCATATCCAAAAAAAGCCTGAATAATGAATCAAAACTATCATGTCATCATGCCTAATTCAAACATCATAAAGCTGAGAATACCTTCAAAAAAATCTTATTTTGGGGAGCATCTTACGAAATTTGCTATTTTTATGTGTTCTTATTTTCTTCTATCGAGTCATTCATCATTTAGAAAGCGAGCTTTAAACTAGGAAAGTGACCATGTAATCTTTAGAATATAACCTATTTTCTTGGTGCTACGGACTAGGCAAATTCCTCCACAGTTCTATGCTATCTTGTTTCATCAAAATGCGTCACTTGCTTTAGAAAGCGGAGCTTTAACAACTATTTTATGAGAGCTTTCTCGGCTACTTACCAGTTGCGTGCTGTCTCTCCATCAGCTCCGAGGCTGTCGCACTGAAGGAGTGGGAGGGGAAAACAGCAGCGCAACAGCCTCTTGAAAATAAACTGCGCTGTGAAGAAGGGATTAGACCAATGACAAGAAATGAAATGCCTTGAAGATTCTCCTCCCAAATCCTCGGAAAACATCAAGTCATGCTAAACACTGCATGCTAAAATTCATATGCTCAACAAAGGACAGATTTTAATGGCTCAACTTCGGACACAGAACACACTTTAATTACCTTGATTTTCAGTGGAACCCCCACAGTAGCCTGGGCTTTTGGCTCTCCCGTCTCCTAGCAACATTCTCGCATTAATACACTTTTCCCGCAGTAGTCCTATTAGACATCAGAGAACACTGACAAGGTCTAGCTTCTTCGGAGGCCCATTACTAGATTCTGTTACTCAATATACATTCTCCTGTAGGGAAGTAACATGAAAAGTGAGTGAAGAACTCATCCACAGGAAAAAAAAATATGAATCGCATTTCAAAGTAGAAAGCAGATCAACTCGTCCTGATTCAAGACTATTTGGGAACAGAAAGTTTAAAAAGGAATAGAATGTAGTCTACTTTCCCTCTAAAACTTTCTATTCTAAAAATCCACATACAGTATAGAATAGGTATTTTGTTTAACTTTTCTAGAATTAGCCTCTGGTAACATTTATAAGTAAATCTGTCATTAGATTTCTTTCCAAATAATGAATTACCAATAGGTAGAGAAAGAGCAGGTATATTTAACCTTTTAACATAAAAATACAAAATTGTACATTCCGATAAAGCACTGCTTACCTCTATAATGTAGCTTTAATTTTTTGCTTTCAAAAATATGTATGTTTAAGAATGATGATGTAATTCTGCTATACTCACAGACGGAAGTCTAGTATAATTGTCACCAGAGAGGCTTCATCCAGCAACTGCTGGGAGCAGATACAAGAGACCCACAGCCAAACATTCAGGGAATCCTGAGGGAGAGAGAAAGGTCAAGAGGGAGAGAGTGGTCAAGAGAACTCACAGGATCAACTAACCTGGGCCATGTTTTGTTGATAATTATGGGAACCTTTCCTTTTCCGAAGAGAAATGGAGGAATGGTGGGAAGGGGAAGCAAAGGGGAAGTAGTGGGGAGGGACTGGGAGGAGAAGAGGGAGGGGAAATAGGAGAGAAGAATAAAAAAGGAGTATGAAATAGCACTATTAAAATTGAAGAGGCATTTTCCTCCTACTGGGCTGCCTCGTCCAGCCATGCTGTGATGCTATGTACCTAGCCTTATTATAGCATATTATTGTGGATTGTTGTGCCATGTGCAGTTAATATCCCTGGGAGGCCTGCTCTTTTCTGAAGGGAGATAGCAGAGTGTGAATCTGTGGGAGAAGGGAGGGAGGAGACACTGGAGGGAGAGGGAGGGGAAACTGGTTGGGATACAATGTCAGAGAAGAATTTATAAAAACTGAAACAAAAAAATTGAAGAGGCATACCCTTTTCTGTACGAAAAATAGGAATGACTATAAAATGTTACACAAACTGCTTCTTGATTTATTTTTTCCAGGTAGGAAACACCTGACAAGCCAATTTAAAATTTTATACTAAAAGAAAAAAATCAGTTCCATTTCCTATTAACATCCACTAGGGAGTTTTTCAAGTACCATGCGATGAAGTACATGGCATATTACCATGGTACAAAGCATATACCATCACCACTGCATAAATGAAGAAAAATGAAGTAACAGAACAAGGACACTTATCTTCCTAACCTAAATTCCATGCTCTTAATTACAACAATGTTGTATCTAAAATAGAAGCAGTCTATAGATTCACCCGGAATGCTATTTTTCAAGATAGCAACCTACTCCAAAATAAACTCTATAAGTAGGCTTGGAGAAAGACCAGACACCTGTTGTTTGTTGTTTTTTTTTTAACTCCTTTACTCTTGGGGGCTTTTTTAGGGAGCTCACCACCCAGCTATTCTTAGTTATGAATGTCTGGCCGTAGCTTGGCTTCTTTCTTGCCAACTTTTCTAAAATTATCCTATCTTTGGCCACGGGTCTTTCTTGTATACCTTTTCTTTTCTTCTTACTCCATGTCTGATTGTGTAGGTGGATGGCTGGGTGGATGGCCCCTGAAGTTCTTCTCCTTCCTCTCTCGTTCCCAGACCTTTTTCTTCCAGATTTCTCCTCATATTAATCTTCTCTGGTTGTTAGCCCCGCCTCTTTCTCTCTCCTACCTTGCTATTTGCTGTTCAGCTCTTTATTAGACCATCGGGTGTTTTAGACTGGTACAGTACCACAGCTTCACAGAATTAAATAAATAGAACACGAACTAAAGAAACACACTGTGAAATAATATTCCCCAACAGATACGTCCATTTTAAACAAATACCATCAAGTAGTTCTGCCCCAAAACACAAATACAGTATTTCATATTGGTAATGCTATTAAGACAAGTAAATTGTAAACCTGTACTATAGGATATACACACATATATACATGTGGTATGAGCACTTTATAAGTGGAACAAACAAATTAACTTTTTTAAAAGCTTAATTTTCACTTTTGTAGAAAGGATGCACAAATATAGAACCTGGAAAAGTGAAGAGAATTCTGACGGCATCTGTGAACACAGGTTAGGATTGAAATTGCCTGTATAATCTCCTGAAATTCTGAAACATCTCAGACCATCTGCACATAGACAGCAGGCAATGGCATTCTTTTTTTTTTTTTTAGTTTATTTATTAAAGATTTCTGCCTCCTCCCCGCCACCGCCTCCCATTTCCCTCACCCTCCCCCAATCAAGTCCCCCTCCCTCGTCAGCCCAAAGAGCAATCAGGGTTCCCTGCCCTGTGGGATGTCCAAGGACCCCCAACCTCCATCCAGGTCTAGTAAGGTGAGCATCCAAACTGCCTAGGCTCCCACAAAGCCAGTACATGCAGTAGGATCAAAACCCATTGCCATTGTTCTTGAGTTCTCAGTAGTCCTCATTGTCCGCTATGTTCATCGAGTCCGGTTTTATCCCATGCTTTTTCAGACCCAGGCCAGCTGGCCTTGGTGAGTTCCCAATAGAACATCCCCATTGTTTCAGTGTGTGGGTGCACCCCTCGCGGTCCCGAGTTCCTTGCTCGTGCTCTCTCTCCATCTGCTCTTGATTTGGACCTTGAGATTTCAGTCTGGTGCTCCAATGTGGGTCTCTGTCTCTGTCTCCTTTCATCGCCTGATGAAGGTTAATATTCAGGAGGATGCCTATATGTTTTTCTTTGGGTTCTCCTTCTTATTTAGCTTCTCTAGGATCACGAATTATAGGCTCAATGTCCTTTATTTATGGCTAGAAACCAAATATGAGTGAGTACATCCCATGTTCCTCTTTTTGGGTCTGGCTTACTTCACTCAGGATAGTGTTTTCGATTTCCGTTCATTTGCATGCAAAATTCAAGAAGTCATTATTTTTTACTGCTGAGTAGTACTCTAATATGTATATATTCCACACTTTCTTCATCCATTCTTCCATTGAAGGGCATCTAGGTTGTTTCCAGGTTCTGGCTATTACAAACAATGCTGCTATGAACATAGTTGAGCATATACTTTTGTAGTATGATAAGGCCTCTCTTGGGTATATTCCCAAGAGTGGTATTGCTGGGTCCAGGGGTAGGTTGATCCCGAATTTTCTGAGAAACCACCACACTGCTTTCCAAAGTGGTTGCACAAGTTTGCATTCCCACCAGCAATGGATGAGTGTGTACCCCTTTCTCCACAACCTCTCCAGCAAAGGTTGTCATTGGTGTTTTTTATTTTAGCCATTCCGACAGGTGTAAGATGGTATCTTAAGGTTGTCTTGATTTGCATTTCCCTGACTGCTAAGGAAGTTGAGCATGACCTTAAGTGTCTTTTGGCCATTTGAACTTCTTCTGTTGAAGATCTTCACCAACCCCGCAACTGACAAAGGTCTGATCTCCAAAATATATAAAGAACTCAAGAAACTAGACAGTAAAAGGCTAATCAACCCAATTATAAAATGGGGCACTGAGCTGAACAGGCTATGGCATTCTAATAGCTCAGAGTTTAACAGACATGTGAAAATGAGTACATCTACTTTTCAGACACTGGGTTCTAAATACCATTCTTCACCAAAACAAACCAGTTTATTGGAGAAATAGTTGATTCTATATCTGGTACAGGAAAAGCACAAGGCATGTTAATTTGCAAAAAAAAAAAAAGAATTATTCAAACTGTGGAAGACATATCAAAAAGATACAAGACACCAGGATAAGGCACTTCACTGGCCAAATTCAGTTCCAGTGGGCCAGGAAGCATCACAAGGTCTCACTATGTAAACCAGACTGGAATCGAACCCACCACCCTCTTGGCTTCACCTCCTGAGTGCTAGGATAACAACTGCTTGCTACCACTCTGGGCAATTCATTTCTGTTTTATCATCAAACATAAGAATGATGGCAATAAATCATAAAACATCGAATAAAAGATTTCTTGAGTTCATAGTGATTTGCAAAACCTACAGAAGAACAGGTGAATCACTTCTTTATAGAATAATAATAACAAATGAACAAATGACAGAATTAGTATATAACCCCACTCAGAAAACACCACTGTATTGATTGGCTTAGACAAGCATCATTAGTACATAACACAGTGCTGGATGAAATGGTAGACAAAACTCACCAAATTGCAAAGTACCACAGATATCTGATTAAATGCAAATCAGGGAAATATTATCAATGGAGAGATACGGTATACATGAACAAATTTGTTATTTAAACTTCATGACAACAGTAATCAGACAAGATGAAGTGTGCCTCCTAATAAGGTAAAATTGGAAGCACACATCTCCTAGATGTGTCTTTGCCAAAATATTTCATCGAGATGTAAGTAAATATGAAGGAGCAATCAGAAAAATGCACATTGTGGAACATTCTAGAAGACAACTACTGTGAACCTTTCAAAATATCATCATTGTTGTTAAAGAGGGCAGGTAGAAAAGCTGTTTAAGATTAAAGATTAA